GAAAGCGGCCGGTCTCTCCATCTCACCATGAAATGTCTCAGCCGGACCGCAGCAATCAGGGTAGTCTCTCTGCAGTCCTCGCTCGCCTCCAGCCTAGGTTTATTTTTTTCCCCTCCGAAGAGCTACTTCTCCGCGCGACCTGCTCCTCTCCTAACTCTGCCCTGCCCACGCCAGCGCTCTCCTTCTGCCTCTGCCTCTCAGAATTTTTTGCTCCCAGGAGCGTCCATCCCACGGAGTGCTGATGTGCCTTCGTGGCTCAGCGACGGGTTTAGGTCTCCCCCTCCTGCCTGGCTCCCTCCTCCTCTGGCATTGTTTGCCCGTGCCCCTTGCTGCCTCCCTGCCCTAGTCCCCAGATCCCCCCTCTCCCTGACTCTCTTCCTCCCTTAGCGCTCCGCTCCCTTTCCCTGGCTGCCTCTCCCCCTCGCTGATTGCTATGCAGTCTGTAGCTGAGAAGTCAGTAACTCTGTGGTAGGATCCAACAGCTTTCCGCTACTTTAGCCCATCCTCGCATGTGAGCTCAGAGCTGCGGAGCCGCCGTGGGGGAGACAGAGCAGCCATCAGCAGCGGGAAAGGGATGGTGGGGCCGCCAGGTGCCCCCAAGGAGGTGAATCCTCCTCCTGGGCTGCTGCACAGAGATTAAATAACTACCATCAGAGGGTTTTTTCCCACCTGGATTTGGGGTGCTGGGCTGGCACCTCGCCCTGAGGAAGGACCAGGCTCTCCCAGCTGGTCCAGAGGGCTTGCTGTGGGGCACTGCCTCCCCGCTCTACAGAGCAGGTGATTTCCTGCCGGGATGAGTAATCCTGGGACAGCAGCTGGACACGGGGGGACCGGCCCTCAGAGCTCCAGGACAGTGCACAGCCATCCTGCTGGGAAACCTCTTTAAGGTCTAAGAAACCTCTTTTGGGTCTCCATGGCCAGCAGCATCTCAGAGGCTTTAAAAAGGTCACTTCTTGGTGACAGGGAGCGAAGGCAGAGGACTCTGCTCCAGCAAAGACAGAGGCTGAAGAGGCCCCTGACTGCACAGGCAGTGGCTGTAGGCACAGGGTCCTGGTGACAGCCCTGCTCCAGGACAGCGTTTTTGAGGACGCGGTTTCCCTCTTTGTGTCTCGTATGCTGTCCCCAGGGTTAAGGCCTGTGCTGAAAAGTCAAAGAAGATTAAAAACCTAGGTTTTTTTAATCTCCTGTGGGCCCCAATCCTGCAAGGACCATGACCCTTCCTCCCAAAATCTTCCCAAGGTGTGGCACCTGGGGTGACCCCTGCACAACATGCTGTGGAGCCTGCTGTGCCCCACCAGCACCAGTGAACACTGCCGTGCGAGCACAGCCTGCTCCCACCCGGCAAAGCCACTGCCAGGGCAGCAGAGGGTGCTGGGCTGGGTTTAGCAGCTCCATGCAGGTGAGCAGCTGCAAACCAGGAGCTCATCAGCCTCCTGAATGGGTCAGTTCACCCCCGTGCACCCATGGCTGCTCCCTGCTGCTCCTGGGGAGCTGCTGCACCTGGATGGAGCAGGGCCAGCCTGTCCATCCCCTCTGCAGCCATCCCTACGAGGACCTCGTTCAGGTTCAGAGGGGTACTTGCTTTCCCAAAAGCTCTGTCTCTAGGGCCTGCTGTGGGGCTGCTTCCCAAGAGCCACTGCCCAGTATCTGCCCAGCTGCTCTTTGGCAGAGTGTACCATCCCTCTGGCACCACGACAAGCTTTTCCTCTTCATGTGGTGGTGAAGGCATGAAGATGGGGCTGAGGCACCTTGCTCCTTCCCACAGCAGGCAAAGCCATCCAGTGCAGCCCTGTGGCCACCTCAGGTCGGGTTTCACTCCCTCTGCCTTTTGCTCCTCATTGCTGCCTCCCCCAAGGCCTCACCACATTTCCCTCTGCCTTCGTGGCAGGAGGATGGATAGCTGCACCTTGTGCATGGTGTGGCAGCCTGGCACCGCCAAGAGACAGGTGGCACTTCCAGAGCCAGCGAGAGGGGCACGGGGACGCCACACTGAGGATGTCAGCGGCCCCTTGCTGTCCTTGTGCCCCCCAAGTGCCGTGCCCTGACCGCCCCATGGCCGCCGGCCCCAGCAGCGGGGTGGCTCACACTCGCCGCCCCCGCCCGTCTCCACCAGCACCGTCTTTAATAAGAAGTGTGGAATATTTTAGCACCTATGTAAAAGCCACCACAGACGGTGGTGGCAGCCGTTGCCAGGGAGACACTCCCAAAAATAGCCCCACTCCGCCAACCTTTCCCAGTGCCGCTGTGGGGATTGAGGGAGGCAGAGGGATGGAGGCATGGAAGGGTGGAACGAGGCATGGATAAAGGGATGGATGAAAGGAGGGAAAGAGTCATAGAGATGGACAGAGGAATCTTTGGAGGGATGAATGGAGAGAGGAGGAGTGAGGGGTGGAGTGAAGATGGAGGAAGAATAGAAAAGATGGAGGGAAGAATGGATAGAGAGAGAGAGGGAGAGAGGGATGGCTGGAGACGGATGGAGAGATGGGTGCAGCGGAAAGCAAGAGCTCCTGGGAAGGTGAGCAAACGCTGCCTGCGCCTTCTCCTGCCTGGGCATGAAGAGAGCTACCTCTGTGCCAGCAGCCCCTACTTGGACACCCGTGGTGCTGCACTGCTGCCACACCAGCTAAGCCAGCACAAACCCTCAAGGCCTCTCTGCGCTGAGCAGGTCTGACTTTGGGAGTTTAAACCAGAGAACAAAGTTTTGGGCTCCTTGGCACCTGCCATGCTCCCTCTGTGATCTTCTGCCAACCATGCCGTCTCTGTCCCCAGTGTTCCAGAGCTGCCCAGCCAAGCTGACCTGGTCATGGGGGCAGAGATGGTGAGACACAGGGGTGACCCATGGTGCTCAGCCCCACCGTGTTCCCCAGCCCCTCGGGGAATGCAGAATCATTTCCCTCTCTTAGACAAATCCTGAGGCTGCCCACTCTCCCAGGAGGCCTGGATGCAACCTGAGCTACATCCTGCAGCAGAAATGGAGGGAGACGCCTGGAACACCACCAGGGGCAAAAGCAGAGAAGCCTTCCTGATAGAAGGAAACAAATGTTTTAGTGGTAAGGAAATGCCCTTTGTCCCTCTTCTCATCCCATAGCCGTCACCTCACAGGCAGAGGTGGAGAAGGGCCCTGGCTGGAGCTGCTGCTGCCTGGCCCAGGGGCTCTGCAGGAGGAGCCTTCCAGACCAGCAGAGGCACAGAGGGAAACCCCAAAAATAGAACTAAAGGAGGAGGGGTTGGGGGAGAGAAAAATAAACCCAACAACCCCAAAATCTCATTTTTAATATCAAATCCCAGCTCACTTGCCTCCTTGTCACCCTGGCGACATTCCTTGTGGTCACCATGGAAACGGGAGGCATGGAGAGAGCATCACCATGCGGGGTGGTGGCAGCACCCGGCATTATTTTGGGAGGCAGGGAGACACCCGGCGCAAGGCGCTTTGCATTGTGGCAGGGCAGGAGGAGGGAAGGTTTATTTTTATGTGGTCCCACTCCATGTGCCAATTTTTTCTTCTTGAAGAGCCTGGGTGTCCCTTGCCCTGCAGCAGCTTTCCTGTGGCCCTCAGGAGCCACGCAGGGATGGTGTTCCATGGGGACAGCCCAGCCCTACCACCCTGTTCCAGCTGGGTGAGCTTGGCTGGGCTGCTCCCATGAAGTCCCTCTAAATCACCTCAGCTGGTGGTTCCTGGTGTCAGAGCGGGAGATAATGCTGGGAGTTGGGCCCATCAGTTCTTCTTGGGAAGGTGCAAAATGAGGAGAACAAACCTTTGCCACGCCTCTGCGGGGGGCTTCTTTCCTTGGGTGGGACAAGAAGCTGCAAAGAGGAGTGCAGGGACAAGACAAAGATGAGGGCTCTCTGGCATGGCACACCAGGGGATTGGAAGGGGATCTCTTGGAAGAGAGGACCCAAATCTGTTCCTTCCCCCCAACTTTACATCCCTGCTCCATGAGTCAAAACTCTTTGCCCACCTGCAAAAGGACCTGGGGTACCAGGGACCTTCAGGGCCACCAGGGCTGGGGCTTGGCTTTCACAGCACCCACATGGCCTTGTGAAGCCCTGCTGAAATCCCAGGCAGCTCCACTCTGATGTCAGAAACCCAGTCCAAGCAGTCCCTGCCCTTTGCCTGTCGTCTCCTTTGCTCTAACCTGCCCTCGTCCCACCGCAGCAGCCCCTGCCTCAGTGCCCTGGCTGGGAACAGGCAGGGATGTCTCCAGTTTCCTGGGGCTGAGCAGGTGTTTTCCAATCCAGCCTGTGAATCCATCTGGAAAAGCCCTGTGATGCAGGTGCTGGAGCGTCAGAGAGGGAAAACACAACCGCCAACCTAATGGGCAGGGAGGAAATGTATGCAAATCTATTCAGAAAGGAGCCGGTGATGCTAATAGGCTTGTTAATCCTCTCGGAAAGCACCAGGAATAATATTCCTGCAGTTTGGTCGTTAAGGATTTTACTCCAAGCAAGCCCATAAGGACAGAGAGAGATGTGTAGGGGATGGCCTCAGGTCATGGCTGGGGACGGGAGGGCAGCAGCCTGAGCCAGCTCTGGGACAGGAGCAGGCAGGATCACAGAATCCAAGAGTAACCAAATTAGACCCACAGCCAGATGTGATTTGCTCAGGGACAAGGAGACAAATTACAACTTCCATTTGGTTGTACTAAAGCAACTTTAAATTAGTGATTAGATATTGACAATCTAACAGCTGGATCTTGATGCAGAGGTTCCCCTGCTGCTGCCATGAGGTCTGCCTGTATAACTGCTGCTCCAGGGACAAGGTTCAACCAAAACAAGCTGGTCACCCAGCTTAATATATTTTCAAATGTATTAAAACTTTCTAACAGTCACTACTGAGCTCCTTTCTATAAAATCTGTAAAACCAGCAGCAGCCACATGCTTCTTCCACTCAACACATTCCCCATGTTATTTGTAACCCCCTTGCAGGAAACCAGGATTAATATTTTCAGTGAAGTTTGTTTCAAACCAGCCCTTGGGAGGATCTTTTCTTTCTACAGGGCTGTGCCCAGGGATCCACACTGCTCCAGACAGGGCACCTGAAGGAAGTGGTGCCTGGTGGGGCAGACACCAGGGAATGGCTGTCCATGAACGGCTGTGGAAGAGCCACAATGGCTTAATAATTCAAACATCTCTCCACTTCTTTGGCTGCAGGAGCCAAGGCAGAGCACTGGTGAGAAGGTGGGATGGGCCGGGAAGGGCAGAGAGCAGCAGGCTGCCGACTGGCAGCAGGACAGGGTATCCCTGGAAAGCCTGGCCCTTGCCGGAGGGTGTGTCCTCAAGGCCAGAGGATGGGAATCCTCTTCCCTCTGCCTTTTCCCCTTTAACCACACTTCCGTGTGTAACTTGAGACAAGCAGGGGAAGAAAAAAGAGGAAGGAAAAAAAAGAAAAAGGGAAAAATAGCGCAGTAATTCCCGCCTCTGCCTCCTCCTCTCTCTCCTCCCCGGCCAGGCAGGAGCCACGTCACCGTCACCCAGCGCTGCCTTCGGGGCTGCTCAGCCCGGAGAGCTCTCCGGGACACCAACTCCAACTTTCCGCCCAAAGCAGGGAGAGGAAGGCCCTGGGCTGCGAGAGGGAGAATCCACCTCGGTGGAAAAGTAAACAAGGGAGACATCCAGCCTGGCAGGGGAAAGGCATCTGCAGCCACGGGGCAGGGGAGACTGAACTTTGCGCTGCGAGAAGGAAGAGCTCCGTGCTCAGGGAAAAAGGAAAGTTGAGCCGAAGGCGACCGTTCATTCAGCCGAGGCTCGGTGGAGAAAAACTTCCCTCCCTCGCCCTCCCTGCCTGCAGAAAGAGCCCCGCTCCCTCCAGCCCAGAGGAGCCCCCGGCACCATGAACATCTTCCGCATCCTGGGGGATGTCTCCCACTTGCTGGCCATCATTATTCTCCTGCTGAAGATCGTGAAGTCCAAGTCCTGTGCTGGTGAGTGCTCCCACGTCCCGGGGAAGAAGGGTGGCCCTTCTCGGAGGGCAGTTCAGTGAAGGGTACAACAAAATGGGAGCTGGAAAGGCCGGTGATAGCCTACAGGAATTGGTAGCCTCCCCCGTGGGCTCTTTGAGGGAAGTCATCCCCTTTCTCTGGGAGTCTCCCGGCCAGGAGAGGGCTGTGCTGGAAGGATGTGATGTGGCAAGGCACACAGCTGCAGGCAGGTGTTGGTCTCAGGGTGAAGGAGAGGCTGGCAAGGCTGGAGGGAGGTGGAAAAGGAGAGCAAGAGGTTGTGGCGGCACCAACACCAACAACCTGGAGAGGAAGCTGCTTTAGGTTGGAGGTTCTGCCAGTGGTGGGCAGATGCCAGAGGCTGCCCCATCCCAGGGAGAGGAAATCGGGACAGCAGCTTCCTGCAGGAGAGTTTTGCTCATAGTTCCCTCCTCATGAGATTTTTGGGGCTGGGCTGCTGGGGCTGTGGCCATTGTCACAGGTACACAAGTGGGTGCGCCCCACTGCATCTCTCTGCCGGCAGTGGCCGAGTTCCATCAGCGCCCCGGGGCTGGTCCTGCAGCTCTTCCCTCCTGTGGCACACAGTCCCCTGCTGAGGTTGGCAGGCAAAGGGGAGAGAAAGGCCTTTTGACAACAGCAAGGACAAACTGGCCCAAGTGGTGAACATGCCCACTGAGCACCAGCTCCTACAGGCGGCACGCAGGGGCATGAGCAGGAACCTGCCCTTGGGAGACTCTGGCCACCCTGGGGTGGAGCTACCTCAGCACCCACACACCAGCCCTGGCTCACCAAACAGCACACTTACATATCTGTGTGTAAGGGGAAACCACCATCCCACAGACCTTTCCCTTCATCTGCTCTACTTTCCTTTCATCTCCCTGCCACACAGGAATCTCTGGGAAGAGCCAGATACTTTTTGCCCTCGTCTTCACAACCCGCTACCTGGACCTGTTCACGAATTTCATCTCTGTCTATAACACTGTGATGAAGGTAAGGAGAGGGCAGCACAAAGGGAGAGGTTCCACTCAGCTCGCTGTGGTTTCTTGGGGAGGTGAGGGTCACTCAGTCACTGAGTTTTTCAGCCAGGAAGTGTGGATAAGGATGTTTCTTTTGGTGCCACTGTCCCTCCATTGACCAAAAAACCCCCTTACCACAGTCAGTGAGTGAGCTGAGCCATATTTAGTACCACTAAAACCACAACAAGACGCCATGAACCAAGCCTGGGTGTCCTTGTACAGCAGGAGCATTAACATAAAGCTGCCAACGAGCCAACCTCTTCACAGAGTGCCCCAGAGGGACTCAAACGTGAGATTCCCATGGTGCAGCAAGCTTTACCTGACCCCTGGAATATCTTCAGCAGAAGTCAATCTGTAAGGCAATACAGGCAAAGCATTCACCACTATCTTGACTTCTAGGAAAGCCAGCCTCTCTTTAAGCATGGAAAGTGCAGTTGCAGGTAAGGTCTTGCCGTCTCCCTTCTCTCCCACAGGTCATCTTTTTGATTTGTGCCTACGTCACCGTGTATATGATCTACGTGAAATTCCGGAAGACGTTTGACAGTGAGAATGACTCCTTTCGCCTCGAGTTCCTGCTGGTCCCTGTCACAGGCCTGTCATTTCTGGAGAACCACAGCTTCACCCCCTTGGAGGTAAGGAAAACCTGAGGCAGGAAAAAGGAAGGGAAGCAGCAGCAGCCTTACACCAGGCAGCAGAGTGAGCAGCATGTTGAATAGCTGAGATTTTTAACAGCAAAAGCAGGCAGGAAAGGCAAAGTTGGCAGGCCTTGAAGACAGTACCATCTATAGAGCAGCTCAGTGCTGTCTCCTCTCACTCCCAGCACGGCGAGCTCGTTTTCCCCAACTTCAGCAGCACCACTCATCCCCCTCACACATCAGTGATTTGCCAAATGAAAAGCTTTAGGTCTTAACACATACGAACCAGCACCGACTCCCCACTGCCTTCATTTTGCACCTCACAGATACTCTGGACCTTCTCCATCTACCTGGAGTCCGTGGCTATCCTTCCTCAGCTCTTCATGATCAGCAAGACAGGGGAAGCAGAGACCATCACGACACACTACCTTTTCTTCCTGGGCCTCTACCGTGCCCTCTACATCGCCAACTGGGTCTGGCGCTACCACACAGAGAATTTCTACGACCAGATCGCCGTCGTTTCCGGGGTGGTGCAAACCATCTTCTACTGCGACTTCTTCTATCTCTACGTCACCAAAGGTAGGTAAACGGGTTGCTGTACTACTGAAAAGTTCATTCATTCTTGCAGTATAAGGTGCAGCTGCAGCTTGCCATGTGTTAATCCTTACATGACTTCGTTTTTTGCTGGGTTTGTGGTGCGTATTTTGCACCTAAAGTCCAGTTTAGAAAACATATCCATTGACTGAGAGTGGGCACCACTGCTTGCAAGGCTCTGGATGCATGTGTGAAACACAGCAAGAATTAAACCAGAGTTAAGCCTTCTGTTAACTCAGAAGTTAACAACTGAGGTTCATTCAATTCTACACATATTTTGAAAGATTATGAATCATGAAAAAAAAAAAAAACTAAAAAACCCAAAAAAAAAACTTTGAGGGGGAAAATATAGCTGCTGGCAGACAATGTACCTGAGAAAGCAACTGCAGACATATGGAGATATTATTAAACCTTCTTTTCCTTTGATAAAGAAAATCAAGTTCTTGATTGTGAAGAACTGATTCTGTAGGAAGATGGGCATCTGCATAGACAAAGATACTCCTGTCTTCCAAAATCAAATGCCACTTCCATTTCAGTGCCATGCTTTGGTAAATGGCCACCAGAGCTTAAAAGTGCACCAAGGGCATAAATCCTGATAGAACACGCTGTGGTTTGCCGAGGCTAAAGGACACTTTAAAACACCTTTCTGTTGAGAAGGATGGAATCAGATGAAATTAGCCAAGTGGATAACTATTTTCCTCCTTCTTCACTTTCCCCAACAAGTCTGCCAAAGGCAGTAATAGTGGCTCACGTTTGAAGTTTCAAGGGATAGATTTTTGGTAGCTTCATGCAATACACTTGCTGATAGAAAGGTGACAGGAGCACTGAGCAGGTGGCAGGCCTTGGCAGATTAAGACTTCCTTCTGTCATTAAATATTTTTGCAGCCAGAAAAATACTTTCTAAAACTGCCATCAAGGTGCTCCACGTCAATTCCTTTTTTTTCTTTTCTAATCTAATTCCCATTTTAGCTCCGCTCAATTCATGTGTCCTGTATTTTGTGAGAAATCCATACCCTTTGTAGCTGTGATGGTGGAACAAAAGGGGGAAAAACACAAATGCTGGTTTCCAATATCACACTGCTAGTGGCAGAGCTGCAAAATTTAGATGATACAGGAGGCAGAAGAAAAAACATTTGTAGATGGAACACCACAGCAGGAAGAGAATTGCCTTTTTTTCTCTTTTCTTTTACACAAATATTCTGAATCATGGGAAACGGTGTCTGAAGACATGCAAATACTTTGCAATCATTTATGAGAGCCAGCAATATTTTAGCAGGTTGCATCTCCTACATTCTTTCAAAAAAACCAAACTTTTCAAAACATTTCTAATGCTGAAAAGCTCAGAAAAAAGGGCAGTGATTCTGGAAAAAGAAAGCAAAAATGTGTTATATAAAGAAATGGATTTAATAAGACTTCCGAGCCTATACCAAAGCACTGCAAAGGGATTTTTATAGAAAGCTACTTCTTTTTATCTTGTTTTCAAAACTAGATGAGCTCCCTTCTGTTTAACACAAGGACATGAAAGATATCTGAGGAAGCTTTCAGCTCCCCAAAGCTTGTATTTCACAGAATGGCCAGGGGTGTGGGCAGTCAGGATGGAGGGGGAAAAATCATCTAACCCATGTCCCTACTCACATTTTTCAAGGTCCTGTCCAGACAGGGTTTGACTGTCTCCAGGGTGAAGCCTCTCTGGGCAATCTGTGCCGTTGTCTGGCCACCCTCAGTATAAAATACCATTTTCAGATGTTCAAGTGGAATTTCCCATTGTCCCTTGCCCTGTCACTGGGCACCCCTCAGTAGAGCCCGGGCCTGTCTCCATTGCTCCTTCCAGCCCTTGTGCACATGGGGAAGGTGCCCCTCAGCCTTTCAACGCTCAGCAGTCTCAGCTCGCAGCCTGTGCTCCCACATCAAGATGCCCTTGTGGCCCTTCTTGACTCCCCATCTCTCGTTCTGAGAGCCCAGAGCTGAGCCCACCACTCCAGCTATGGCCTGCCAAGGCTCAGTGGAGAGGAAAAATGCAGCTCCAGAGGCTCTTTGCTTCATCACGAGGGCACACTGATGGCTTGTGTTCAACTCGGTGTCCAACAGCACAGCCAAGGCCTTTTCTGGCAAGCCACTTTCCAGCTGGGCAGCCCCCAGCACGAACGGGTGCCTGGGGCTGTTCCACCCCCGGGCAGGCCGCGCGTTCGGCTTTGCTGACCTTCACAAGGCCTCCATCTCTCGCGCTGGCACGGTTCCTCCAGCCTCGCCCAGTCCATCAGGCCCTGCCACGTGGTGCATCCCCAGCACATCAGAGCCCTGCCCTTTGGCACCCAACAGACCCAGCCCCAGCCCGGTACCACCCTGCGCCAGGCACAGCCACTCTGCACCACTGACCACTGCACACCCAGGACACTCCCCAGTCCGGCCACCCCATCTAAGCCTATGGGCCTCTAGATGCCCAGAGGCATCCCTGCCATCCCAACGTTCAGCTCGGATGGGCTGGGAGGAGCTCAGCAGAGATCCGGCCAGACATTGATTCAGGCCATGCTCTGTATCAAAAGGAGAGGACAGCACCAGGAATAGCACATCATCAAGAAAAATATTTAAGACGGTCCACCCATGAGAAAAAGGAACCATGCAAGCCAAACAAGAACCTTTTCCTTTAGCATAAAGGAGGTTAAGTTGTGCTTTCCCCTCTTAGCAGCATTTCACAGTGGTTGTCTCCCATCTGCAGTTTACAAACCTGGCACCCCACTATCTGGCACTCTAAACCACAAGTTAGAAAACATAAAATTGTGGAAACAATATAACAGTTGAATTGTATTAAATTTACTCATTACCTTGTCTTTCTCTTTGCAGTCCTAAAAGGAAAGAAGCTAAGTCTTCCCATGCCTGTTTGAAGACATCCCACAGGCAGCGCAAGGAATTCCAAAGACGAAGCTGTTTAAGATCACAGCTTTCCTTCCCTGACCCCTTTTGACTAAAGGATGGCTCAGCTGAGTTTCAACCCAGTGCCAGGAAGACAGGGCTTGGAATGCTTTTCATCCATCAGACTCTTCCCCTGAATTTTTTTATTTCTTCTCACTTGAATTTGGTGCTAGTGCTGGCCAATACTGAAGTAGTGCAATTTCTTCTCTCCCAGCTCTTCCCAGCATCTACATTCAAAACACACCTCCACTCTGACCCTGAGGCAGCACAAGGGAAAATGTCACTCCCACTAGTCCTTCAGCAAGTGCCCACGGTAAAGGGAACATGTAACACCCTTTATTGAAGCCTGTTAACTTAACTGACCCATTTCACAGGTGGCCATGTCTGACACAGCAGATGCTACAAACTCTTACTTTAACTCTGTATGAACTAACACCCTCTTGAAAATTAATTCTGCCTGACCCTCTCTCTATTCAGGCCCTGTAACATTCAAGAAAAACACACTGCCTTTGAATAACATGAATCTTCTAATTCCACAAGTATTCATACATCCTCCCCGCTCACTTATTTTCAGTTTCCTTATGTTCTACAAATAGGGACAATCTCAATTACAATTAAGGCGATTGCCAAGTGTTTCCACCTCCCTGAATTTGACTTCTAAGAACTGGGAAGAATAGGGCAAAGACAGCTTTACATTCCAAAAATAAAGACAAAGTTCACAATTTATTGACAACAGTGTTTTTATTTATACCTACAAAAGAAAACAAGATGGTATCAAAAGGACAATTTACAAACTAAGAATAGTAACATAGCTCTTAGTATCCTGTGCCTCAACACCACAGATCTATGAATCTCTCAATTCAAGTCTTCATTAATACAACAGGAATGTGTTCAGAGACCAGCAGGTGTGTGAAACAAGATGCTGATCCCACACAAAGCTAGTAACTCTTCCATTGTTCAGAGAAATCCAAACAGTAAATTGCTTCAGGAAGTGGGAGGGGAGGAGACACCCAGCTCAGATACCTGACACTCCCACGAACTTTTTACAGATTGAAAACAATGCAAACGACACTAGAGGCTAATGCTTTATCCACAAGGGCCCTCCAGCTGGTACATGGAGCAGAGCAGAGAGCACCGGGTGGGACAGGGGCAGCACATGCCATGGTGCATTCAGGTCTGGATGACACTGAACTGAACCGAGACCCTGGACTTCAGCTGACCTCAACGGCAACAAAGCACTGCGAGACTTGGCATTGATGTTTAAACACGCACAAGTCACCCCAAAAGTGAAAGCTGTAATGGACTATAAGGCAGCTTTGGCAGTCCAGAGACCCTTTTTAAAGCCAGTCAGTGAGATGTCCTACTCCTACACCCCTCAAATGCATTTCAGCGTTCTATTCTCAAAAAAAAAAAAAAAAAAAAAAAAAGCTCTACATTTGCTTGTGAGGGAGGCCAAAGACCTATCAGTCAGTGCCTGGATAAACAAAATATTTCTGGCTTTCACTTAACACAAGCAAAGGAACTTCCTGCCCATACACTGGAAATATAAAATGGAACCAGGGAACTGAGGTTCTGGAAGCAATCTCCCTTCTCCCTGTCAGCAACCTACCTGTGTACTGCACCAAAAAAAAAAAAAAAAAAAAAAAAAAAAAAAAAAAAAAAAAAGAAAAAAGAAAAAAAAAGAAAAAGCGCATCCATCCCCCAAAATTTTACTCTGGGAAGAAATTAAATGTTAAAAGAAATAATTTCTGTATAAACAAGCTCTTTTCCAGGGCTATAAGAAGTTCCACTCTGCTACAGAAGGAGTGGGCTGCCTTGTTCATCCATATGCAAGAACGCCAACAGAAAAACCCACAAGCCCCCTGCACTCTCCTAATGCAAAGAGCATGCCTCAAACCAGGAGATTTATCCATCCTTTTGTCATCTTATCAGACCAAGAGCAGCCAACTCCTGTTATCATCTACTGTCTCTGAACCGTCTGGTATTAGAAATAACAAGTCAACAACATGCTCTACTAAAGGGGGAAACCCCCCTCACACCCACCTTAGCCTGTAAAATAAACAAGTTTTATTGACGTATGTACTAAAATTTCACTCTTCTCTAACATTTTCTAAAATACTACCTACCTGCAAGAGCTCAGCTCAATGGGACCAGTGGAGCAGGGAAATGCACTCAAAAGCCAGAGAAAGCAATAGTCAGTGCAAGGTACAAAAGAAACAAAGCTTCAGAATCAAGATGCACTAACCAGCTCACCGCTTACCTCACGAAAAGGAGACCCCAGGCAATCTTCTCCTGCCTTCCTCCCCCCAGCCCTCCCCCAGCCCACCCTATTCAAACCTCTTAAATTTAAGTGTGGAAAACTCTGTCACATTTTATCGAGCGCAGCGGCACTCAGAACATTCCCCATGGCAAAAGGGAGTTTGTTTGTGAAGGACAAACAAAATAACGCTGTTCATCATTTCAGCTTTGCATAATTTCTAGGCTCTCAGGGAAGGCTTCTTTCAAAAAATCAAACAGAAATTTGAGAGCAGTAACCAATTTAATGATAATCAGGCTCCACGCATTTGCGATGCTGCAATTTAACAATTGTAGGGAAAGAACTTACTTAGATGAACATTTCAGCAGTGGTACCCACAGCAACTGTGGGTAGATGGTTTTCAGGGAGTGAATGCAAGACAGGTTTGGTCTCTACACAGGATTTTTAAACTCAAGCTCCCTACTGCAGGCTGTTACAGGTAGCAGAAAATGGGGCTTCCAAAACTACAGAAATTGCCAGTATACCCAAGGCTTTACTCTGAACACCACCCAGCTCAGACAAATGAGAAGAGTTTTCCTAAGGAAAGTCACCTACAGTAAGATTACAAGCAGTAATAGTGAGCTATTAAAAAAAAAAAAAAATAGATTAGGAGAAGTGAGCATTTCTCCCTTGCATTTATATTTTAAATCAAGTGCTTTTTGGCTCCCCCAGAGTTTCCCATTTCTCTTTATACTTCCTGAAATTAAGTTAATGCTGTTACAGAACAGAAACTTCTTTCCCTCAAAAGCAAATTTTCCCACAAACCTTAGACACCAAGATGATCCAGTTGGAACCTATCTGCCTTATGCCCTTTTCTTTTAGAAAAAATAAGATTTCCAAATTCCTCAACATGCAAGACAAAAATAATAAATTTTCCAGTCAACTATACATATATCTTTAAAAAAAAAGAAAAAAAAAAAAGAGGACAGGGTCATTAATGTGGGCGGGGGCCATTTCCACTAAACAAAACAAAAATTTTAAAAAAAAAAAAAAAAAAAAAAAAAAAGGACAGGGTCATTAATGTGGGCTGGGGGCCATTTTTGATGGGCTCAGGGGATTTGGATAGTGAATTCTAAGTCTAACCTGCATGAGAGACATCACAATGGGAAAGAAGAGAAAGAAAAGGTTCCTTTAAATGCAAGAGGTCTACACTGGTCACCAGCAAGTGGTTTCATTTGCGGGAGGGGGGTGGGGGCGGGGGAGGGGGCGGGTACTGGTAGGTGGCAGTCTGTCCCATATAGCCCATCACGTTAGTGGCAGGGGGCTGCGGAAACTGTTGTGACATGAGCGGCTGCGGCTGCTGGCCCGAGCGCCCCACCATCCCTGCATACTGCTGTTGGGTAGTGCTCTGTGAGGTTCTCCCAGCTGTGGCAGCCGTGGTGCTGGCACCATAGCCACTAGCACTGTACTCTGCAGTGCCATAGCCACTCGTGCCATAGGCAGCTGCTCCATAGCTCCCTTGAGTGTAACCATACTGGCTCTGTGCTGCCCCAAAAGCAGAATTTGGGCTCCCGTAGGCACTGCCATAGGTCTTGTTGGCTCCGTTGGCGTAACTTTCACCACGCTCACGGTCTCTGAAGCCACCTGAGTCTCTCCGGCCCTCTTTCACTCCCCGGAGCCTCCTGTCACACTCTTCCTGGTACATCAGGTTAGGGTTGTTTACCGAACTGCTCGTTCGGTAACGAGAACGACCTCCTGGCGATGGATACGTTAGGATTTAGTACCACAAACAAGTCTTAAACAATGATCTCTGGTACACTTATGCCACCCTTTCTCCCCCTTCAACACCTCAGATTTGGCTCCCAAGGAGCACCTTCTTCTGACTGACTGCAACTTTTATGCATAGGCCTCCTGATTTTGCTCAAGGTGTAAACGTGAAATTTAACAAGGGTTCTTTATGTATGTGCTTGGAGACAAAGAAACAGAAGAAATTCAGGACTCATTTGGAAGTATACGGAAACTTCTTATTCCTTCAGGGAATGGGAAGAAAAGGTGTGTCAGCTCCTGAAATTCAGTGCATCCCTTTACTGATTTCAAATTTGGACATGCACCTTGTTGCCTGTCCTTAGTAGGAGCTGTGAGGAAGTAATTACTTCACACAAAATCAGCTCCCTGAGGACCTTACGAGAGAAAAAAATTCTACTAAGCTAAGGTAAAACAAGGGACTGCCTCTCTCTTCGGACAGAAGTACTATGTCCACATGAAGTGTTGGGACCACAAGTACAGAACAGCTTTATTACTAATGGGTTATCTTAGACCTATACTTACTACTTCCCTACCCTCTCATAACATCCCCTCCCTCAAAATGGGGAAGGTATCCCCTGTGTAGCCCTTCTCCCTTGTGCCATTACCTCCACCACCTCCTCCTCCTCCTCTGTGGTCCACAAGCTGCATCAGCTTTGGATTGATGGCTTGATTGGCTTCTTCCAACACTTTGATAAGCTCCCTGGCTTGTTTCAGGTTTCCTGGTGTGAAGAAGGTGTAGGCAGTACCTTTGTTGGTACTACGTGCAGTACGGCCAATACGGTGCACGTAATCTTCGGAGCTGTTCGGATAGTCGTAGTTTATCACAAATTTAACATCTTCCACGTCTTGTGAAGTGCCCAGGAGCGAAGCACAGTGAAAGGGTGGGGTTGAGGAAAGGGGAGAAGAAGAGAGGACGTGCCAACGAAAGGTGGGGAGCACGAATGCAGGTGACAGTAATAAGAAAAAAAAATACAAAGTTAGTAATTGCACAGAATAAATACAAGACAGACTCATCCCAAAAGAGTAGAAGACTGAAATTAAGATCATCAGGAACAAAGGTCGGTGTCCTGAAAAAGAATGGCAATTTTAAAGCAGCTTTGCCCTGCACTCAAAGTCATCCTCCCCGGAATGCATTCCTCTGTCTTCTTGTGTCAAAGACACTGATGTTTGTGAATAAGTTAACTGAATCTCGTATTTCTTTTTAACACAATCTGTAAAGTGAAAATGTCACCATCAGACAGAGCAAACTGGGGTGGAGGAAGGGCAGAACTGCCATGGTAAAGCTTTTACTCTGTTGGGAGAAGTCTAACAAAAAATAACAGTAATGAGATCACTTACCTTCCGCTCGGCAACATGAAATAAAAGACAGTCTTAAAAATATTTACTTTTACAGTACTAATAAAATACAGTGAATTAACTGCCCTACCCTAAAGCTTTAGGCATTCAAATTACATTAGTTTTACTCAGCCAACTCATTAAAAATTATTCAGACCTAAAGTATCTTAACTTAGCTTTGTGGTTATCACTAGAATGCATTGCACTAACATTTCTGTGCTGCTCTGTCCAGTTCTGGTAAGCTTGCACAATTTGAAAAATCTGAGTTCTGTAAGCAATTCCCTACTTCCAGTTCAAATGGAAGCAGGAAA